TTTCTAATTTTTTGTTGTATCCAGTAGATCATTGGATTGAATCGCAGTCCATAAAGGAGGAGCCATGTCCTTCATGAAAGGAGACTTGCTATCTAGGACTAGAAAGCTCGTCAAGGGCTTGGCCAAAGCAGAGCCTATTTGGCTCAAAGCCATGGAACAGTCAGTTCTTCTATTCCCCACTCCTCGTACTTTTGCCTTTTTAAGAGTATTTCATTTTCTAGGATCTTGAAAATGTTCAATTTTTTGTTCTAGCTTGTGAAAATAAATTTGATGATCTTTTGGTCTTATCTTCAAATTTCTTTTTTCTTAGATTTGTGTAACTTTTTGGGATACTATTGGATTCAAGTTTCTCAATTTATCAGGTCTATGACATCTTTTTTTGGTGAAATATTTCACAGAAGTTTTCTTTTCATTGAATTAAATGATTTTAAACTGCTTATTGAGATAAAATTCTTTGGAAGGACTGAAAGTTTTGGGATTTTTTTCCTGTTGTTTCCTGCTCATGAGTTGAGCACATTGCTTGGTAGCAATGGATGCATAAAAAGTTGCGCTTCCAGTTAGCTTCCAATTGCTTGAAACAATTGTCTTATCCATTACACTCTTGTTCAGGGCGCCACCTCCTACATTTCCTCGAATAGATGGAGCAGTCAAGACAATCACTCTTCCTGAAGATGTATATGTAAAAAAGTTCTTCCAGAAACATCCAGATTCAAAATACGAAGATGCGATCAAGTATGATGCTTCTCTTATATATGTAGTTTATCACATTTTACTCCATCATACATGTTTGAAATGCGGGATTGATTTCATTGTTCGAGAGCTACTTTTCTCCTTGAAGTAAAATTAGATTCTCAGGTTTTTAGGTTCTTGTGGAAATTCTATCTTTAGGGTTTGGAGTGCTCGTGACGTAGAAAACTCTTGTTGGATATTCATGAATTAAAATTCCATGTGCCTACTGCTGAGGCTTTGCCATGGGTTGTTGTATGTCTGTCTGGGTCGTGCATTTAACCAATGTTTAACTACAATGAGGAATTTCAAGCAATGTTAAGTCTTCTGAAGGCCTATCATAATTTTAGTGATGCCACTTTTTACGGCTACTTCCTGTTATATGGTATATCTGTTGGCTTCTAGAATCAATCACTAGAGACATTCTTGGCTTAAAATAGATATGCTGATAAAAATGTTCCCGATGACACTTAGCATTTTGGGAAGGATGGTGAATTGAGTTTGTCATTTGTCGTGCATGCTCTCAGAATTTGCCTTCTTCTTTGGGATAGAATCTCTAAAAGACATCAGCATTGCTAAAATAGATGGTTCAATTGAAGCATACATATATGTATGTATGTATGTGTAGAGTTTTATCTTGCATGGATGAAATCCTGATATGGAAGGATGGGAAAAAAAAAAGAGAGAGAGAGAGAGAAAGTTCCTAAGTAGTTGCCTTTTGTTTCTACAGGTTCTGTAGTTTCGATCCTCCTCCAGCCCGAATATTCGGCTTGCGAGTGCTTGAACTGAAGGAACAGGGTGTCAGTGAGGAGGAAGCCATGGCAGTAGCCAATGTATGGATTGTGGGTTCTTTTATTTGTTCCCTTCTCTTGAATCTTTTCATTCTGTGAATAACGTCTTTTGTCATTCAGATGGAATACCGGGCAGAGAAAAAGGCGAAAAAGAAGGCTTACTCTCGCTTGAAGCAAATTGCACGTCTTCAAGGGAAGAAACCTCCTCCTAACCCGTATCCAAGCGCTATTAAGGAGATACAAGCCGAGGAAAGGAAATTCGTGCGAGATCGTTTCTTCAACCCCAAGATTAAAGAGATCGCTCAAAGGTTGAAGGAGGAGAGAGCAGCTGAAATGCAGGACAGAATGAGAGGCAGTGGCTGGTCAGGAAGAGTTGTTTAATTTATAGGACTTCCATCCTCCCATTTGTCTTCTCGCTCTGCCCTGGAAACTAGCTTTTGCAATAATTTTGGCAATTGGCTAAATAGGGAACGACACATTTTTTTAGATTCAAGTGACTACCACATCTGAAGCATTGGATCAAGCATGTTAAAGGATTTTTCTTTCAATGTTATTCGGTTTTTGGATTAATAATAGACCGATTCAAAAGCATAAAGATTTCGTAAATACTAGTTCTGCTCATGACAAAGCAAATCAATATCATACTCAGTCACCCTTTATTTGCTTCGGCACAAAAAACACAATGCCAACAAGTTCATAGCAATTATTAACTAGAAGGATGATATCCCAGCAAGTTTGCGAAACTTCTCATAAGACACCCAAAAGACAAATTGCCAAGGACCAAGCCTTGCCCAAGTAGGAAAGAATCCCTTCCACAGAGCTCTCAATCCTTCAATTTTAACCGTCTTCACGAGACAATCATACGTGCCGTTGTACATGGTCGTTCCTTCCTTGCTAGCAGCTTGATTCATCATTCTTGTCTTCACAACATCAGCTGGACAACTCAGGGCAGTTGCAGACAGACCAGACATTACAGAAGCTAAGGTGTGGCCAAAAATATTATCCCCAGCTATTTGATTCCGAATAACAAAACGCTTTGCATGATCATAGCAGGGTAATTCTCCCATGTTCACCAAAAATGCTCGTTGAACATTTGGGACAACCCCTTTCCAAAGCCCCATAATCCCTTCTCCACGCACTATTTTAGTCAAGGCATCGAAGGGTCCTGAGTATCTGGGTTGCAGACCTCGGCTCATTAGACGGCCATCAGCTTGCATCCTCACCTTAACAAGATCAGCAGGGCTTGCCACTACCTGTGGTACTAATGGTATACACAAATATATTGATATTTAGTCAAGGATATCAATAAAATATCAAGTTTTCAGTAATCTATATGCTTAAACTTTGAATTTAGTGGTAGTTTAATGTGGTATTAGAGCAAAAAGTTCGTGCACTTGAGTAGTATAGATACAGCACAAGGCGTACAGACAGTTTAGACAGTGCCTGTGATTTTCAGTCCATCCCAGATTCTAAAATTTAAAGCACTGAAAGAATTCTTTATCATCAATCAATTCCAACAGTACGATTCAGAAGATCATACATTTCATGAACTGTTAGTAACTCGATTAGCTAAATTTCTTGACATTGCAGTTCATTGGCAAATCCAAGTCTCTAAAATGTGCAATATCGTTAATCAGAGCCCTAGTAAAATGATAATATGGAAAATTGGAACCTGAGCAATGGAGCCGGAGATTCCACCGACAAGGGCCTTGGCAGGGAGGGAAACAGAGCCGCCATCAGACACAAGGAAGAGGGATTGAAGGTGCTCGTATCCAACAATTCGTATGGGCGTGTAGAAGAGGTGCCTGAGAATCGCGGGAGACAGGCCCTTGTAGAGGCCAAAAGGACCTTGGTCCTTCACGATGGCTGAAGCCACTCGGAAGGCATTTGTGGAACTAGAGAAGGAAGAAGACTCGCCCTGGAGCTGAAGCCTTGTCTTAGTGAGGTCTATGGGGAAAGTGGTGGATTCGGCCACCATGGCGGAGAGGGCGGTGAGCAACATTTTGGTGTTGGGATTGTGGCGTCCATGTTCTTCGCTTGTCTTCATCGATCAGTCCCCGAAACCCTATTCCAACTCCAGAATCCCAATCCCACACAAAGAGAGATTCGTGTACAAATGTGGGTAATCCTAATTCTATTAAATTTTTATGCCCAACGTCAATGGATCAAAATTGGGTGGATGTTTCACTCGTAGTTTTTTATTTTTTTTTTTTTTTTTTTTTTTTTTTTTTTTTTTTTTTTTTTTTTTTTTTTTTTTT